ATATGGTTCGTGAAGGGAAATGGAGAGAAGAGGGCGGTAAGTTTAAATGGATAGTTTAGTTGAGCGGAGAAAAGTTTCAAAGGGGGGCATTCAGAATATCAGCTGATGGTTTTTTGAAAAGTGCAATAGTTGAGTAAGGTGGATTGTTTCCAGTTTTTTTTAAATTGTTAATAAATACAGTTCTTGGGTTATTATATTTAATGCAGTTCCATAAGACATGATCGATATTTTCATGCGACTGACCACAATTACACATAGGAGAGTTTACAATATGAAATCCAGCCAGGGAAGAATTTAAATTATAATGGTTACTCCTTAATCGGTTTATGGAAGTGATAGTTTTACGTTCATAATTTTGGAAGGGGAAAAACCAGGGCCTATTGGATTGATCATAATAGTTATGGAAGTAGTGAATTCCTTTTTATTTTTCCATCTGTCTAAGAAGGAATGAAATCTATGTAAGGCCTTTTGTCTGAGTATTGGATATAGATCAGTATAGGGAAGCTTAATTTCAAGACCATTGCCATATCTGATGGCCGATCTTTGCTAAGTAGTCTGCCATTTCGTTACCCAAAATACCTTGGTGCGCTGGAATCCATATAATCTCTATGTCGTGACCTTTTTGGTAAGCCATATATAGTTTTTCCTTTAAAAAGACAGTTAGTTGGTTTTTACAGTGTAGGTGAGAACAGTTAGCGAAGGCACGAACTATGCTTTGTGAGTCTGTAAATATTAATGCGTTCTTAATGTTTTTAGATACAATTAAGTCAACAGTTATATTAATTGCAGTGCATTCAGCGGTAAAAATAGAAGCATAGGAGGAGATTCTATAGAAAGGTGAATGATTTAGGGTCGGAGCAAAATATGCTGTCCCGACATAGGTGCCTGGCGATTTTTTTGAACCGTCAGTAAAAAATATAGCTTTACCAACCATAAGGTTGCCATATAGTTCTTTAAAGATTTTATTAGCGTCGGTAGAGCTTTCAAAATTAATAGAGGGTGTAATTCGCACGTTAGGCGTCCATGTGAGTGATTCGTAAGAGACAGAATACAATGGAATATATGGTTCCGATTTAATCAGCCTCCTGTAGTCCCGTACAAAATTATAAGCTCTTATTAATAAGAAAGTATTAAGTATATAATAGGTCTGTTTTTTATAGCTGAACTGGCTGCACTAGTTCAGAGTTTATCTTTCTCCTTCCAATGTGAAGGGAAAAAGATAAACTCTGAACTAGTACAGCCAGTTCAGCTATAAAGAACAGACCTTATGTCTAGTGTGAATTGTAGCCACATCGTTCAAGTATTCGAGTTTGCGTATAAGTGGATGTTTATTTATAGACATGGCTCGAAGTAAGTATCTTCTAGATAAGAAAGAAAAGCGAGTATAGAGGGAGAGCTCTCCCGTCTCTGCAAGAAGGATGTTATTAGGGGTAGTACTTCTGTATCCGAGTGCGAGTCTAATGGCTTGACGTTGAATGCGCTCTAATTTTTTAAACATTGTATGTGAGGTTCCGGCGAATACAAAGCATCCATACTCAAGAGAGGCACGTATGACCATTTTGTATATAGTCATGAGAGCTGAAGGGTGGGAGCCCCACCACACACCCCTAAGCATTTTAATGATGTTTAGTAACTTAAGACCTTTCGAGTATAGGTGATTGACGTGAAGGTTACCGTTGAATCTATAGTCAAAAATAATTCCAAGGAATTTAGCCCGATCTTTTGAGCTAATAAGAGAATTATTTACTTCAATAGTGCATGAAAAGGGATCTATTCTTTTTCTAGTGAAAATAACCAGAGATGATTTGGTTGGAGAAATCTCTAGACCAATTTCTTGAAGGTAAACAGCAATTTTAGTTGCATTTTGTGATAGATTATTTAGGATTTCTTCGATATTGTGTCCTCTGATATATAGTGCAGTGTCATCCGCAAATTGAAGCAATCGACAATTGTTGGAAATCTGAAGGCGAAGTTTATTAATATACAGATTAAATAAAAGCGGGCTCAGTACAGAACCTTGTGGTACTCCTTTGTAAGCATGATAAGGCTGAGAGAGTTCACCGTTAATTACAAAATGCAGAATTCTAAATGAAGTAAGACTATAAATGAATTTACAAAGTCTTTCCGGGATTTTTATATCCCTTAGAGAGGATAAGAGAATTTCAGGAAGAAGATTGTCAAACGCTCCTTTTATATCAAGAAATAAGCAGGGAGTATATTGAGCTAAGGCGAGGCCCACGCAAATTTCAGAAGAGAGAAGTGCTAGGTTGTCGTAACATGACTTACCCTGTCTAAATCCATATTGGGTTTTGGAGATGATATTTTTACTTTCGCACCACCATTGAATTCTGGTGATTAGAACTTTTTCCATGACTTTTAATAATCCTGAGGTCAGGAAATTGGCCGAAATTTTCCCGGTGTGGATTTTGGAATAATGAATACGATAGTGTTTCTCCATCCTTGGGGAAAGGTACCTGTATAGAGAATATTGTTAAATATTTTTGTTAATAAACTGTACATAAAAGGAGGTAAGTTTTTTAGCATCCTATAACTAATGCCATCCATTCCCGGAGATGATTTTGAATTGAGTTTTAAAATTACTTCTGAGACTTCATTTTTCTTTGATGGAACAGTCAAGCATAGAGTCACCTGGAGGGAATATTGCGTTATCAAAGTGAGTATACGGTGCACAGTAATCCGGACAAAGAGACCGAATTAGATTAGTTAATTCTTCAGTTTTTTGTTTTGTAATAGGAGCAGAGTCAACCGCGACTAAGTTTCTGTTTTTAAAAATTTTTATGTTTTTCCATATTTTTTCAGGTGATGATCGGAATTCTATGTTTTCACTAAAATTTTTTCCAAGTAATTTCTTTTTAGCATTCTTATAAGTTTTTTTTGCTATTGCTTCGTATTTTTTAAGATTCAAATAATTTGTAAGGGTGGGTGCCCTTCTAAAAGCTCCTAATGCCAATTTTTTAATGTTATAAATTTCGTTACAATCGGAATTCCACCAAGGCGAGGGTGGAGGGCCCTTGGAAGAACGACATTTAGATCTGGAGGAATAAGGGTGGTTTTTTGTTGCATCAATGGCCTCTACGAGTAGTGAGGAAATATATTCACACACAATTTGTTTAGATGGATTAGAATTATCATTGTTGATTTTTTCTATAATGGATTCTTCCTGGAACACAAAAAATCTTTTGAATTCTTTCCAATCAGTATTTTTGCTATCGATCCTATGACAAAATCTGTTAATCGAATTAACAGTAATGTGAATAGTAGTATTTATAGGAAAGTGATCGCTTCCCATTGGATCTTCCAGGACTTGCCATGAGCAATGTGGGATTAATCCTGGATTGACTAGTGTGAGATCAACTATACTACGGTTTTGTGTGGGAGAGATGAGCCTAGTAGGAGATCCATTATTTAAGATAGCTAAATCAAAATCAGTTGCAGCTTCTTCTAATGACCTGCCCGCAGAGTCATTGGTGATGCATCCCCAAGATATATTGTGAGAATTAAAGTCACCGAGTATGATAATATTATCAGCGTTTTTTAAAGATGAGAAGAGAGCTTCCCAGTGCTCGTAATTTATCTAAATGTAGGGTGTTTATAAACAGAAACTATAAGCAGTTGACCTTTGGGGGTGGAAATTCTAACACTCAAAGTGTCTAGGAGATTGTCGAGATTATATATTTCTGAGTCTAGAATTGATGGAATATCAGATTTAATCAGAATGCATAAACCACTGGAATTTTTCCGAATTGAGTCCTTTCTATAAACTAAGTAACCAGGAATGTAAAAGTGAAAATAAGGATTTAGCCATGATTCTTGAATTGCTATAACATCATATTTATTAATAATTTTTAGGAGGTTGTCTTTTTTAGAAATAAGTCCTCTAGCGTTCCATTGGAGCAGACAAATGGAAGAGAATTTAGAATAGTTATCCATTTCTAAAATTTTGATCAGGAAACACTACTGTTTCCCGATTATTGTAAAAGTTTGATGATAGTGTATTAAGTGAGTTGAGATTAGGGAAAGTCTGATTGTTATGTGTAATCATAGTGATAATCTGAGTAAGTAATTGTAAAATCATCCCCAATTGGCCGTCATTTGGGCCAGGAGATGTGAAGTGAGGATTGTTACTATTAGAGCCCACTGGAGGATATCCACATCCATCAGAGGGTCTGAGGAAAGCTCTTCCGTTGGTTTCCAACAAGTAGTCGTGCCCCAAGTTTTGAACCTCCTAGTTTATTGGATTTGGGGGGGTGGGAAAGAAAGAATTATTCTTCCTGTTCGGCGAAATCTTTGGGGAATTTGGCGATTTAGTCGTCTGTGCATAAGACAGTTTAGGGGAACTGTAATTGGGAGAAGAGGCTCCTTGAACGAACTTACCATAAGAAAGCTCAGGAGAGGATCCTCCAGAAAGAGGAAGGGGGGGAAGTTAAGAATGTTTGAGCTGAATTCGCTATTAGTACGATTTTTAGTGAGGATGTCCCTTGCTTCCTTTAAGGGAATATTTCTGTCAGCAGCCAATAGCTGAATATCTTTTTGAAGTTTAAATTCAGGACAAATGGGATTCGTCGGTGAGTGATCACCTTTGCAATTTATGCATACTGGTGGCGATCCTATGTATGGGCAGGGAACTTTACAGTCGTGATCGTTGCGAGCACAGTGCGAGCAACGAGGCTTGCCACGACATTGGGTGGCCGAATGGCCAAATCTATAACAAGAGAAGCAAAGCGTTGTCTTTGCAACAAATGGAGTTACATCATATCTAACGTTGAATATATATATATATTTGGGAAGAATTTGATTGTGGAATGAGATTACAATAGTTTTGGAGGGCACATATTTGGGTTGCTGCTGTTCATTGAAAGCGGATAAGTCCGTGACTTTACGGTTTAGTCTCCTGACCGATAGGATTTTGACAGGGCTATTGGTTTCGTTTTTAATCTCTTCTGAGGTAAGCTCAGTAGGAATGTTACGTATAACTCTCTGGCGAAGAATCCTATAATTAGGAATAAAACATATCATGTTTTTTTCTTTAAATGGTTGTTGAGATACCAAATGATTTGCGGCATCTCTGTTGCGGAATTTAATAGAAACCTTGGAAAAGCCAAGTTTCTTGATTTCCTCTATATCTTTGTCATTTTTGGAAACTTTTGATAGAAATCTTCCAATGAACAGGGGGTGGATGGGAGTAGGGGGGGTAGTAATTGATTGTACGTATACAAAAAATGGACCTTGATTTGAATGAGCATAGCGGTTTAAGGCCAACTCATCTAAGATATTATTTGTCTTTTTTTTAATGTTATGTGACTCACCCGAATTGGAAGAATCAGTAGCAGTGGTAATGATGTCGTCTTTGTTTTGGTTTGGTTTTTTAGAGATATCTAATTCGTTGGGTAAATCATTGTCGTCAGCTGGTCTTTTTTGTCCAGGGAATTGTGAAGAATTTGAAGATCCTGGATTTATAACAGAATTGTTAATGTTTATACCAATAATTTTTGAGATAGCTTCCCTATTTTCTGATGTTAGGTCATTCAAGCATGCAAGGGAGGGATCAAATTGGCTGGATTTCATATCTATATCTGAATCACTTGAGTCAGTTATCATTTCAGAGGTGAAGTCTCTTGAGTTAATAATTGGTTTTTTACTTACTTTGTCTTTATTTTCCGATTTACCTTTAATTTTTCCTTTTGGCCGGTTCCGCGAATGGGAACGGGACCGGGAAGGAGGGCGGGGAGGGTGGCATGATTGCCACGTGGGCAAGAAGGTTAAGGGAAGCCGCTTAGGAATAGCTCAGATATGCGGTGATAGAGTATACTGAGTCTGGCCTTAAAATAATACAGCCACAATGGCTGTGGAAAGCAACACCACTCGTCACTAGGCGCAACGTTAAAAAAGAGATTAAAACAATGATCTCTGCGATAAGGCACAATACTCGTCCGTACAGTTCGCATGAGGCGCCAGACTCTACACCAGCAGCAGCGGGAAAACAATGAGCTTTCCTCTTCTTCCACTGACTCAATTTTAATAATATATTTCTTCGTGGCATGGTATGAAGTGTACTGGTGCGTTGCTGATGTGGTATTGGTTAGGGACAGTGATGCAAACTCGAGCCGGCCAGCACCAGGGCTCCGTGGTAGGGGAAGCATGCACACAAGCGAGAATTGTTACGTCACACGTGCGTGTAACGTAAGCAATTCTCGCTTGTGTGCATGCTTCCCCTACCACGGAGCCCTGGTACTGGCCAGCTCGAGTTTGCATCACTGGTTAGGGATGGCCCATCCCGGATGGGCGAGATTTATCGATTAATCGAAAAATTCCGATAGTTTATTTTCAATTAATCGAGATTTTCAACCAATTAATTTTTCTTTCGAGTAATCGATATTTGATTCTTTTTACTTAACATCGTCAAACTGATTCTGATCATGCAATGTAGTGAAAATGACAAAAGTGAGCAAATTTACTAGGTGTTGACCAATAAAATCATAGATAGACCCCCAGAAGCCATAAAAGGATAAGATTAAGTTATAAATATTGTCTATGCTGTATTTTGCGCGGGCTATTAGTTCCCATACAGCACACAAAAATTGCATACACATTGCATCAATCTTTCATCGTAATGTTGCAATATTGCAAATTCACTGCAAAATGTTGTTGCATCATTGCTGTGGGATTGCAGCAACGTTAAAATGTCCGCTTTTAGGAAGATTGTAACGAAATATTACAGTAATATTGCAATGTAATGAATTTGCAATAATGTATTGTTATTGCAATCTTAGAATAATGTTGCATATATTTTTATTTATTCGGACATTTATCTGTCCGATTTTTGAACAATCAGTTCAATATCTGAATTCCCTGTGTTGAGGTCGTATCAGAAAAATTAAACTGATAAAAATAATTACTATGTCTTTAATCTTACTAATCTTTGCAAGTTTCATATAATCATCATGACTAAAACTTAAATACGAGATAGATTTTGCAACGCGCGTCGCATAGCGGTAAACGAACAAACTAGCGATTATCGAATATTGCTATTGCAATGTTATTGGAATGTTGCTGTCACATTCTCATGAAATATTACAATTACAGGTTGCAATAATGTCTCAACAATATTACATTGCAACTTGCAAGATTGTAACATTGCTGCAATGTAATTGCAATGTTCTGTGCTGTATGGGTTAGGTTAGAGACAAAAGATTAGGTAACAGTTTGTATGTACTGGTATTACAATTAAGAACTAATAAGTGTTATCTGTTCTAGCAGAGTGCATAAGAAGAAATTCATATGAAAACTTTTATTATAATTAATAAAATTAATAAAACTTTTTTTTTCAGCCGTATTTAACAATGGATATTTTTCTACGGATTTATTAAGAAACTGCCCGGTAAAAAATTTCTCATACATAATTAGACAAAAATAGTACATATCTAATTATACAAAATTATATACCGAATTTGTCCATACATAAATAGATACACCTATATATAAATGAATATGAATATATATATTTATATATGATTATATAAAAGTGTGTATGAGTAAATATACATTTTCTTGTTTTATTT